TAAGATCTGTCAATATTAATTATACTGACAGTAACGTCAAAATGATATTATAGCCGCCTTAGTTTTTGATCTACTAAATTAAAATTTCATTTCGCACGCGTTGCTGGGCAACCCGTGCAATATGAAATATTGTGTAAAATGTGTATGATATAAGTTCCAATAGCCGAATCAAAATGATGATTTATCATTGCAGCCGTAGAAAAATATATTTTTTTAATTTTCTTACGTCTTCCGAACATATAGTTGTTAGGACTCGTTTAATTTGAACGGTCGCGTCGAAACTACTGATGATCATAATTATGTGCATGAGGGTGGACATACAAAAAAAAAACAAAGAACCGAAAGAATTTTAATGAAAGAGACTATGCAGAATAGAACAAAGTACTCTAGAAAGCTAAATGACTCTTTAAGGCAACAAACGGGGGTGAGGGTTTCGGATAGAACAGTGAGAAGAACATTAAATAAAAACAACTTGAGGCTTTTTATCGCCTATTACTACAGAACTAGCAATTCTGCATGTTACAATCACAGGACTATGCAAACAGAAATGTAAATCTTAACTAAAATAATTTACAATCTACATAACACTTTCTGCCGATTGGAAATATTAATTATTTCTAAGAAAGTTGAGGGCTACTTAAATTAATCATGAATTGTAAATATTTTCTACCTGTAGAGATTACATATACATCCTATTTTTGTTGATTAAAATGATTAAGAAACTACTATTTTTAAAAAAATTAGGAAGAAAACCAAATAATGTTAAACATTTTAGTTTAGAAATTCTCCGTCACTGATTTATGATGTTATATTGGGGTTTATCTCCTAAATTAATATTAATTTGCACCTAGATTTACTACTATTAAGTAATTCATGTTTTTTCCATAAAACTTTTGTCATGTGTTAGTTCTATATAGTTTATGCTTACTTCCATTTTGCAAAATAAATCATACAGAGTTTTCAAAAAATTATGAATATCTGTTACTAGATACTATTTAAAAATAAAACTGTGTGTAACAGAAATACGTAAATTTACGATGAGGAAATGGAAAATGGAACAAACAAAGAAACGGCTTTAAATAAAATCCAAATAAGAACCTCTTCAAGATCAAATAAAGAGTCGAAAACTTTTAAACAACTTGAGGTGATAATTTTTTTTCAAAAACAACATAATGCCAAACATTTTAAATTATAGAGCCCGTCGCAGAGCAAAATGTGTGCGGTTATTACACACCATATAGCGAATAGGCGGGCATGGGCAAATAAACATGCGAATTGGGGTAAGCCAGAGTGGAGCCACTGTCTATTTACTGATGAAACAAGATTTAATTTGATTTACTCCGATGGCCGAATGTTAGTTTGGAGAGTGCCAAATTAGCGATATTTGGAGGAAAATATTGCCCTTCAAGAGGCATTTGGTAGCGGAGGTGTTACAGTGTGGGGGAGGTATTATAAGAAATAGTAAAACCGAGCTATTCATTACCAACCAAACCATTAACGCTACTGTTTATCAGGAGGAAATTTTGAAACCTATTGTTCCTTTTGCTCGAAATTACGGCCAAGAATTTCTATTAGTGGATGACAATGCTCGAATTCACAGAACGCGAAGGATCACAGAGTTTTTGCAGGCACAGAACATCAATAGGATGGATTGGCCTGCAAAGTCTCCCGATCTTAATGACATCAAACAAGTTTGGTCTTATTTAAAATTTACATTAAGATCGCGTGATGTACCCCCAGAAACATTAGAAACGCTTAGTGAGGCCATTCGTGAAGAATGGGAGAATATTCCACAAGATTGTATAAATAATCTTGTGGAGACTCTACCAAATCGATGTCGGGAAGTAATACGTGGAGCAGGAGGACCAACAAAATATTAGTGTCTCTTTTTTTTAATTAATGTACCTACTTAATTTCGGGTAAATTATTACCAAAGATTGGGTATTTAAAGATAGAACACTTGGCATTTTCCCATTGATAATTGCCGATTGCTTTCAATGACCTCGTCCGTTTAATACGCAATAATCTAATTTCATTGTAAACTCCAAAAATGCAAGGTTGCAATTCCCATCGTTGACGCAGTGGGTTCAGAACAAAAATTAATGGACAGACAATTTATGTTGTTCAGGCTAATTTTTTTTATTTATTTAAAATTACCAATACTCCAGACAGCACAACTCAATCCATTGGATATCCATCGGAAGTCCATTCATGGACATATCGGCTGTCCAAAGGACGTCCAGCATTTTACCAAAGGACATCCAATGGACATCCACTGGACTATACAAATGTCCCACTCATGGACGTCCATTTGGACTTCATGAAAGGTCCATATATGGACTCTTTTTGTATTGCTTTTGGACAATTTATGGACATTTGACGGACATCACCACCTATATTAATATGAAATATATGGACTTATTTTTATTGTCATAAATAATATCAAGCATATATTAGTTTTATACGCACTCCTTTCTGTTGACCTTCTCTGCCATTTTTTTAACGCTATTTCGCTTACTTTTTAGGCAGCACCATTGTCACTCTCAGCAGCAGCTAAAAAAAGACATTTTATACGAATATTGAGTCTTAAATCAATCGTTTAATACACGCCTGATCAGGCAAAACTGATAGTTAAAAATGTAAAACTTTTAGATAAAATGTTATCAACTAATATGAAAATATGCATTCACTAATGTACTTTAACTCTATACTTACATATAAACAAAAAACTGCTCATTATTTCTTAAATTACCATTTTACTTTCATGCCATCATATTATGCGAATTCTTTTGTGAGGATATTAGAAATTATGGAAACAAAACATCTTTTTATAAGTTTGTCATGTTCGTGTCCCTGGTTTTGGTAACTGCTGAATCTAAAATTGCAATAAAAATATGTATTTGTGAACATTAAAGAGAAACCACTTTCAATGCATTAATTCTTAAACGTTACAAAACGATTCTATTTTAATAAAAGTAAAACTTACAGCTTCTTTAAAAATATTTGTATCTTCTAAATAGCCTCTTCTGCTAATGTCTCATGCCATACAAATAGAAACTTGAATATTTTTCTTCTCCTTTGAAAGTTTTCTCATCTCTTAGTTACAATAATGATTGTGTTGACATCATCTCGAATTTGCAGCATATAAGTTAGCTTTTAGTAAAGCCATTTTTTTAAATAGGTAGGTAAATCATTTGACAAAAGGTCTAAAAGAAAGGTATTCTTTGAATGTAAATCGAAAACATAAAGTTTGAAACATAATTGATAGGTTATATTAGTTTAAAACAAACGTTTTAATTTTTAGATTTTTAAATGATTTAATTAATAAATATACTTATTTTCTTACCAGATAAACATCTATGTGCTACATATAGGCTGTGTTTTCTTAACAATCTTAACCTCATTCTTCTTTTTTCTTTTCTTCTTCAAGTCTGGCCTGAGTGGCCTTTTACTTTACTATCTTGTCAACAGAGGCGAGAGGAGAGGAAAATTATTTGATTTATTTTAATTAAAACCTAGTAGTAAATAATTAAATTATACAAGAAGAATTATAATAATTTATTTTAAGTTAGTCATTTTTATAGTGTCCATCATGGAGATTTTTAGGACATTCATTGGACTTATGAATGGGTATTTCCATTGGATAATGGAAAACGGATGTCCAATGAATATCCATATGAAGTTCATGGACATCCAGGACATTATTTGGACAAAATATGGACGTCCAATGGACGTCGTGTGCTATCTAGGACCAATTACCACTAGGTATCCATATCCATACATACCTAATCTTTGTTATTATAGTATATCGTGTTTAATTAAAAATTTTGTAAGAATTGACTTTTGGCCGATGTTAACGAATCTTGTATATTGTAGAATATAATGTAATAAACTTATTCTTGACGCTACGTTTTGGTCTATTATCGACTCGGTATAATGTGTAAATTTCAACCCTCAAAATGCTTAGACCACGGAAAATCTACGTGAAACAAGAATTCTAAATCCGCAAAAATCATCAAGAACCGTCAATCCAATGTCAAGTTATAGCATTTTAAAAATTTTGCAACCCAAATTTTGTTTAGTAGTATGTACAAGACTTTAATCCAAAAACTGACAAAAACGTATAGAGATACCTTAGTTACCTTAGTAACGAACTATATTGCAACGTTCAAAAAAAATTTTTGAGGAAATTTCAGTCGTACAAACTTTTTGATTTTTTGCATGACTTTATTAATCACCCCGTATATAATAAACCTAGAGTCCTATGATAAATATACGTCATGCAGCTTAATCCGAAAAAACTAGCTCTTAAAATCTGCAAGCCACGTTAAAAAATTTTCATTCCTCTTGAAAATATTTAACTTTAAATTTGGCCTAAAAATGTCTATGCGTAAGTTCGAGTGATCAGCAGTTTAATTCATCACTCGTATTCCATATTTAGCATAAAAACAGCTTTTAAGATTTTTAACTAGTTTAACGCATCTTCATTATCAAGGTTAATTTTCGTTTCAAAATTTGACACTAAATTCTCAAAACTTTCGATAATATCACTTGATTTATTAGAACGTTCGATGTGTCCCTTTTTCTTTCATTATATGATTTTCCGGAAGTAGATGCAGGTTTCGACAAATATTTATGCAGATTTGGGAAAATACAGGGGAGTACATTTGGTTTAATCTTAATTTGAAAGGAGTTTTTATTAAATTTCCAATGGGAAGATATTACTAAAACCACTTTATACCTGTAAGATTACACAGTGTATCGCAAAGAAAAATTCAGAATCTTTCAGCTTTCAACTAATTAAAGTAAAACTGTCTTAGTTTCACTTAATCTGAAACAAAATAGTGAGTACAATGTACAGAAACTGAACTCAATACAGTTTGTAATAACCATACGTTAGTATTATTTTCTGTTTTTTTTTTATTATTTTATTTTTATTTTTTATTATTAATTTTATATTATTAATTTTATTTTCTTTTTTTTTTTCTTCTTTTTATTAGCTTCGACACCAAAATGCGAAGAAGGTGAATTGCTGTGTAAGAGCGGTCAATGCGTAAGCATAGCTTCACGTTGCGATGGAAACCGAGATTGCAATGATAATTCTGACGAAGACGGTTGTGTCTATCCTGGTATGTTACTGTTACATTGTTGCCGCGTTACTAAAAACATTAACAAACTTGAAAAATAATTATTTCCTTTGCAAAGAAATCGTATCATTTATCTGTAGCACATGCTATTCATTATTCTACAGGAAATTAACGTTTTGTTTGATGTTACATCAATTTCTGCATTCTATGTTTCATTTTTCAAGGATTCATACTGATGGCAACACCCAAATTAATATTTTGTTCAAATGAAAATAGAGAAATTGTTCTCTTTTTTTATATTATATTTCTTCTATTATATTAAAGTTTAGTCATCTATAAAAAAATTCGAAAATATTATTTGTTTATATAAATTTTGAAAGGCTCTTTTAAAATGTTCACTTTGCCACCTCATTTTTTTGCAGCTGTAGCGCCATAATGCAAAAAATGTAACAGCTCTTTTTCAAATCAATTTACAAAAAAAAAATAATTGAGAGAAAAATTTACTTTGCTAATAATATAAACAATTAGTGTGACATCATGATTTAGGCTATCAGTATTAGTAGTGGCATGATACAATTATTTACCCTATTAAGTATATTGGACCTTTTTCACCTTGTGCATATGAATAAAATAAACTAAAAAAGAGTTCGCTTATTTTTATAGTATTTTGTCTATTAGTAACATAAATATTAAAGCATTCTTAAATGCCGAGGTCATTGATCTTTAAACATAAATTACCTACATTTGTACTGTTATTAATTAAATAAATATAATCTAGTAATTTGTAAATCATAAAAACTGTAAATAATCGCAGGTTTACCGCGAACCGCATGGAGACATTGACATATTAATAGATACATTTTAGAATAGTAGAAATAATGTGTTTCAAGATTATCTAGGTGGCAAAGCAGGAAACAAAGACCATTGAAGGAAATAAAGTGAGGTTAAACCGACCCGTTTTATTCACGTGTTTCCGTCACTATCAAGTTACCCTAGGGCTGGTATATATAACGCGGTTACAGCATATACCCACTAAACAGGTGAAGGGGTCACTGAAGCTAGGGATACTTCCAGCGAATGTGGCAGGTTCTTATAAACTACTGAGTTTAAATGACCCCAAAGTAAAAATAGTGGGGATAAATATTTGTGGATACATTGTGTCCAGGTACTGTTTCACTCTAGTATCGAAATGAGAAGGAATACCATCTTGCTGGAACCAAATTTCATCAGAAAGTTCATAGTGATTTGTATGATTTGGAAATAAACGAACTAACTCTGGAAGTATCTGCTCTTTAAGGAGTTACAAATAACGATTACCGTTAAAGTACCTATCATGAAGAATGGGTCCAATAATTTTTTCTCTAACTATATCAGCCCAAACATTTAAGTTTTGTATATATTGGGTGTGTATGACCTTACATCCAATGAGGAATAAGCATTTGCCTATCTAGGTCATCTTCATTCAATTCTTGGTGTAATTGCTCTTTATAGGAATGACACTTATTGAATCCTCCTATCGCTCATATTATTGTCTAATGCAAGCTTTGAAACTGAAGTTTTTGGTTTTTCCTGTACCCTTAGAGCCACATTTCCTTCATCAGTGGCTGCCTCTTTCGTCCAGATCTAGGTTTGTTTTTCACACTTCCTGTTTCGTTGACTTTCCTCAAATTTCTTGATACTCTAGATTTAGAAATCGGGGAAATTCTGTCAGGAAATATTTTATTAAATAAATCACAAGATTCTTGCAACTGTCACTCAGTGCAACCATGGTTTAAATAAATAAAAATTCTCAGTAGTATCAAATTTTGAGAGTTATGTATCGTCTATTGGGCTAGTTTGGGTAAAATGAATAAACTTGCAATTAAAACTCATTTTGTTCAATTGTCTCCGAAAAACAGATTAAATTAAATCTACATATTAATAAAAAGTAACCAAGTATGTTATGTTGGGAATGGGGTGTTAATACACTGCGACCTAAAAGATCTATTGTGCCCCCTTCTGTCGCTAATGCACCAAGGAAATGTCTCAATGCCTATAACGACCCTTCTAATCCTATTTTCTCAAGGAAGTGTAGGATTTGAAGTGGCTTCAAGTTGGGGAAAGCTCCCTCTTCTATTTGATATCCTCCTAGATATAGTGTCCTTGGATTCTCGAGTGCTACACGTTCAGTTAGGATATGAATGGAGGATTCGTCCATCTCCTCATAGAATCTGCACTCACTATTCTCTACTAATCTCAGTTTACTTAGATGTCCTTTTAGTCGGCAATACCCGGTAAGGATCCCTGTTACAATACGTAATCTGTTCTTGCTCAGGCAGATGCAGGCTTCCGATCTTTTCCGGTCATATTCACCCAGACGTATCTTGGCCTGTCTCAGCCCCAAGAGATTGTTCCAATTATCGGTTCTTCTACTGCCCAATTCTGCCTAATAATAATATTATGTTACTGCTGATACCGCAGAACGACTCAGGTCCTACAAAGAGTGTTTGAGCCCTTTTCCTTGCAAGACTATCTGCAATCTCATTACATTGTACCCCATTATGTCCCGGGATCCAAGTGAGAGTAACTCTATTTTTCTCGCCTAGCTCATTCAATTATTCTAGGTATCTCCATACCATTTTTGAGCTGATTACGTAAAATATCAGCGCTTTGATGGCTGGTGGACATGATAATAATCTCTTGTCTATGATAGTTTCTCTCGATGTTAAACTGGATACACTTCTCGATAGCGTGAATTTCCGCCTAGAAAATGCTTGGGTATTTTCCCAAGCTTTCGGAGTGCTTGGTTTTTTGGCCTATTCCAGTTCCTTCTATGGTTTTGGAACCGCCCGTATACCACTAAATAGCACGTAATTCGGTTGCAAGGGCGATGGATTCTTGGCTTCATTCTTTATTGCAGCCCAGCTCTGTGGTTTTTCACAAAACTGTACTTCTTTAACATTTTATCCTGGGGCATGTCCCAGGTATCTTTAGTCCTGAAGCAAGTAGACTTTCGTCTGATTACTCCATTCCTGATCATTCTATATCGTGTTCTTTTTGCCACATTTTCTATCATCAAATGTAGAGGGGTGAGGTTTAAGATCCCCTCCATTGCGGCCGTAGGACAGGTTTTCATTGCACCAGTAATGCAAACACAGGCTAGTCTTTGTACTTATGAGATATTAGCTCTCGTAGTAGCTAAACTAGTTCTGTCTATAGTCCAGGCTATAGCCCCGTAAGTGATGATTGGTATCACTATTGCAGTATACATCCATCGCAGTATGTTTACCTGCAATGTTTCTGCATACCATTAGGGCTTTTGTGGACTTATTTACTACTTCCTTCTCATGTGTGTTCCAGAGAAGTTTGTTGTCCAGGGTTGACTTCATTTTTCCATTCTATATAATATATCCCGTCTAATTTAACGGTTTTGAGATTAAGTTTTCTTTCCTTGAAAAGGCTACTGTTGTTTTTGTAGGGTTTATACTAAGTCTCACTTCACGGCACCATCTTTTGGTATGTTCTAGTCCTCGTTGGACTATATCACACAGGATATTTCTAAACTTGCCTCTAGCAAATATGACTATGTCATCGGCATAACCTTGACAGGGTATGCCGAGGTCAGTCAATCTGCATAGAAGTTCGTCTTCGGTTAGGCTTCACATTAGTGGGGATAGAACTCCTCCTTGTGGACATCCTCTGGTTGTGCAGATGGAGATGGTTTCCTGCCCTATCTGTGTCTCTGCAGTTCTCGTAGATAACAGCTGAGCCATCCATCTGCATGTGATGTTATCTACTCCTCTGTATGCAAGTGCTCTATTTACAGATTCATGTGGCGTGTTGTCAAAAGCTCCTTCTATGTCTAGGAAGGCACACACGACCGTTATTTTGTTTGTCAGTGCATCCTGGATTACGTCAGTCAACTGTACCTGGGCAGTTTCTGTAAATCTTCCTGCTTGGTACGCGTGTTGGCTGTGGTGGAGTGGCACCCTCTCCAGGACTTCCGTTCTGATATAATTATCAACAGACTTCTCCATTGTTTTTAATACAAAGGATGTGAAGCTGATTGGTCGGAAGGATTATCCTTTTTCCCTACTTTTGGAATAAAGGTGACTCTGGCCCTTTTCCATGCTTCTGGTATATATTTCAGCTCCAGACTACTCCGGGATAGCCGCATTATGTGTGGTAGTAATTCCTCCTGTGCCTGCTGAAGCAGGGCAGGAAATATTCCATCCACACCTGGAGACTTAAACGGTTCAAAAGTGTTAACGGCCCACTTTAACCAAGTAAACATTAAGTATGTACAAGAATTTTATTAATAAAACTGAGTGATCATTATCGAGATTTCAATGACATTTATGTCATGGACCAATGCAAAACAACTGAAATTGATACATTATGATAGCACAGATAACTGTGTTATTCATTAATTATTCAAAACAACGTTTACCTTTCTGTTTTATTATTTTCTTATAATAAGGTAAAACAAAAACCACTTGAACTTCATATTGATGGATTCATAAAGAACAGATCTATCTGAAAACAAATATAAATAGAGGATGATTTATTTAAAATTTCATCCGATGACGTCATATATTGATAAATTTGATAGTTGACGAAAATCCCCAATCGTCATTAAATAGTGCATAAAATATACCAAAACATTTATTCAAGTCAATTTTCATTACAATCCATACAGTTCATCAAATTTCTAGAGGTGTTCGGCGCCCAGACAGAGAACGCGCTACGTGTGACTAAGATAGCTATTGTACAGTCTGCTAAACAAGTTATTTTAAATAGTTTTTAATATTTTTAGGTAAAAAAATTTTAAAAGTGTGGAATTGTTTAGGGATTAAATTGGTCTGATTGGACTTTCTTAGAACGTTTTTAAAAGCAGCTAAAGATAGTATGTAGAATTGAAAATAATTATTATGCCATAAAAGGTGTTTTGGAATTCCTTCAACCTTTTGAAATTGAGTCAGAAAATATAAATTTTATAGGATAGCGGAAAATACCTATAATTTTTTTGTAGGCCTTTGAAAAATCGTGGAAATAGTTTATAT